CAGGCGGGTCTCGAACCAGCGGGCTCAGGCAATCCACTCACCTCAGCCTCCCAAAGCACGAGATTACAGGCTGAGCCACTGAGCCCGTCTTAATTAATAATTCTTAAAATAATAATCTCAAATCATTTTGACTTTCAATGAGGATTTGTACTATATACATTTATGGAGACTTATTTTTATAAATATTTCAGTAAAATTACCTAAGTCCTCAAACATAAAACTACTGGAGTTCAACCTGTTTGAAGTATTCTGCAATTTATTTGATTCACATTAAAGATAAGAATTAGTTTTAATCTTCAAGTGTAGGAAAGCATCATTTAAAAATTTGATCATGCCAGGCTCGGTGGCTTAGCCTGTAATCCCGTGCCTTTGGGAGGCTGAGATGAGTGGATTGCCTGAGCCCGCGGGTTCGAGACCCGCCTGGGCAGCGAGACCTCATCTCTACAATAAATCAAAAAATCAGCCGGGCATAGTAGCGCATGCCTGTAATTTTGGCTACTCGGAAGTCTGAGGGGGAAGGATCACCGGAGTCCAGCAGGTGAGGCTGCGGTGGCCGGAAGCGGCCACTGCACTCCAGTCTGGGTGACCGAGTGAGACTCCAACTCAAAAAAAAAAAAAAAAAATTGATCATAGGCTGGGCATGGCGGTTCATGCCTGTAATCCCAGCAATTAGAGAGACCAAAGCGGGGGGATTGTTTGAGCCCAAGAGTTCAAGCCAACATAGTGAGACCTTGTCTCTTTAAAAAAAAAAAAATTAGCTGGGCATGGTGGCATGTGCCTGTAGGCCCAGCTACTTGGGAGGCTGAGGCAGAAGGATCACCTAAGCTCAGGAGTTTGAGGCTTTGGTGAGCCATGATTGTGCCAATGTACTCCAGCCTGGGTATTATTCATCGTAATACTTTATATGCTCATATAATAAATATCAAAATAAAGGGAATTACAGTACATAATTTTACCATTTAAGGACAACTTACTATTAAAGACAACTTATTTTAACAGGATTCCATCTTATGTATGCTTTCTTGGTTTTTTTACTTTTATGTTCTCACTGTACATCATGTATACTGAGTTTTAAGTCTTTAACATTATCGCATGATAAACATTTTCTTTTTTAAAAAATAGACTTGGCCGGCCTCGGTGGCTCAGCCTGTAATCCCGAGCCTTGGGAGGCCGAGGTGTGTGAATTGCCTGAACCCGCGGGTTCGAGACCCGCCTGGGCAACTGGCGAGACCTCATCTCCACAATAAATCAAAAACTAGCCGGGTGTGGTAGCACGTGCCTGTAGTTCCAGCTACTTGGAAGGCTGAGCGGAAGGATTGCTGGAGCCCAGCAGGTCGAGGCTGTGTTGGCCGGGAACGGCCATTGCACTCCAGTCTGGGAGACAGAGTGAGACTCCAACTCAAAAAAAAATAGACTTTATGTTTTAGAGAACTGTTCATTCAAAGCAAAACTGAGTGGAAGATACAGAGTTTCCACATACCAACAGTTACCCACACAGGTTCAGCCTTGCCCACTGTCAGCATCTGTGTCAGAGTAGTACACATGTTGACTTATTATTATTATTATTGTTATTGTTATTTTTGAGTCGGAGTCTCACTTTTTTGCCCTAGTTGAAGCACAGTGGCACACTCATGGCCACCGCACCCTTGACCTGCCGGGCTCAGGCAATCCTTCCTCTTCAGCCTTCCAAGTAGCTGGAACTACATGCCATCATGACCAGCTAATTTTTAAAAATTTATTGTAGAGACGAGGTCTCGCCATGTTGTCCAGGCTAGTCTCGATCCTGTAGCCTCAGGCAGTTCTCTCATCCCAGCCTCCCAACGTGCTGGGATTAAAAGTGTGAGCCACCACACCTGGCACATTAACATATCGCCTATTGTCTGTAGCCTATTGTCTGTAGTTTACATCAGGACTCATTCTTGGTGTCTATTCAGTGAGTCTGGATAAATTTATAATGACATGTATTCAGTTTTACGCTATCATACAAAGTCATTTTATCAAAGTCAATTTATCAAAATCCTCTGTGCTCTGCCTATTCAGCGCTCCCTTCCCTGATCTCCTGGTAACCACTGACCTTTTTACTGTCTCCTCATAGTTTTGCCTTTTCCAGAATGTTATACAGCTAGAATCATATAGTATTTATTTTTAGATTCCATGCTTATCTTTCATAAACATTGCAAGTGACTGCAGTTATTCCACTGAGTAGATATTAGTTATCACTAACCCTTCTTCTATGGTTAGACATTGGATGAATTCTAAGTTTTCACCATTATAAATAAGACTGCACTGAACATCTTGCATAAAAGTTAAGCTTTCTTGGCCGGGCTCAGTGGCTCAGCCTGTAATCCCGGCACTTTGGGAGGCCGAGGTGAGTGGATTGCCTGAGCCTGGTTTGAGACCCGCCTGGGCAACTTGATGAGACCTCATCTCTACAACAAATCAAAAATTAGCCGGGCATGGTGGCATGCGCCTGTAGTTCCAGGTACTTGGAAGGCTGAGGCGGAAGGATCGCTGGATGCCAGCAGGTCGAGGCCCGGCTACTGCACTCCAGTCTGGGTGACAGAGTGAGACTCCAACTCAAAAAGAAAAAAAAAATTAAGCTTTCTCTATCTTTAGCTACTTATAGAAAGTTATTTATAAAGATATAAATAAAGATATATAAATATTTATATTTATTAAAGTGATTTAGGAAGACATACAAGCGGCCCACAGGTATATGAAAAAATGCTCAGCCGGGCTCGGTGGCTCAGCCTGTAATCCCTCACTTGAGGAGGCTGAGGTGAGTGGATTGCCTGAGCCCACGGGTTCGAGACCCGCCTGGACAACTTGGTGAGACCTCATCTCTACAATAAATCAAAAAATTAGCCGGGCATGGTAGCGCGCGCCTGTATTTCCAACCACTCGGAAGGCTGAGGCGGAAGGATCGCCTGAACCTAGCAGGTTGAGGCTGCGGTAGCCAGGAGCAGCCACTGCACTCTAAGTCTGGGCAACAGAGACTCCAACTCAAAAAAAAAATGCTCAACATCACTAATCATCAGAAAAATGCAAATCAAAAGCACGAGATACCATCTCACACCAGTCAGATTGACTATTAATTATTTATTTATTTATTCATTCATTCATTTTTGAGTTGGAGTCTCACTCTGTTGCCCAGACTGGAGTGTAGTGGCCGCTCCCGGCCACTGCGGCCTCGACCTGCTGGGCTCTGGCAATCCTTCCGCCTCAGCCTTCCAAGTAGC